GGCAGAAGCTTACAATATCAAGGATACATGAAGTGCACTTTGAGAAGACATTACCAGTGAACGGGCTGTTCTTCAAATGGAAGATTTCTCAAAGCCTTAAATTCAATTTGCTCAATTTCACACAGCCAGGTAAATGAATGGAGGAGTCCTAGTCCTTATCAAGGACTATTCTTCTCTCATAAAATACACTTGTTGAATAAATCAACTTTGGCTCGTTATGCAATTTACACCCCACATACAAAACTAGGCTAATGTGCACCGATTTTCTTTCAGTTGAAGATTTATGCTAATTCTGTCTTATGAAGTCTTTAACAGATTGATATCATAAGAAATTGGGTATGAATAACCATAACCCCTTTTATTATACTTCGATCAAATTTCACGCATTTGAAAAAAAACCTTTAATTGGGGTTCTTTATGTATCAAAGACTACAATCATCTTCTTTATTCTCTGAGTATATTTGCTCTACATTTAATAGACTTAACCAATAAAAACTAACCCAGTAAGTGATTCATAACTTTTAAAGGATTTATGAATGAAATTTATTCTAACCTCCGATACACAAACATCGTAAAGAAGACTCTTTTCAATTCATCAACAGCTAACATATTGTTAGTCATCAAAACAGGCAAAGTCTAATGTATAATGCATCAGTATTCCAGGGTTTCTTTGCATAATAAAATTGACAAAGTTGATTGAAAATGATTTGTTTGCCAACACATAGGGTCCTCTTTTACAAATCTTCGTTTTGATCTTCCAACCACGAAGCCTGCCTTCTTATTGAAGAAACCAAGTAACAATATGCAACACCGAAAACCCGCAAACATACATCACTCGCCTATCAAAGAGCCTCATCTTACGTCTGATATTACAGACACTGGCAGTTTTACGTATTTCATATCATTATACGCAAACCGTACATAATTATCGTAAACGACTTTGTTCCAGCAGATAAAATTTAATAAAAAAGACGGACAAGTTGATTTGTCCTTATCGCATTGTTACTTCATTGAAATTCTGTTGAATACATTGAAAATGGAACTGGGTTAAAATTTAAGAGTACTTGAGAACTACTTTCTATTTGTTATTATGAAAATGTATGGTAAAGAAGATTTAATGATGAATATACAAAGTTTAATTATTTCTTTTAATAAAATAAATACCTTAAATAAAATCAGATGTAAGTGAAAGCATAATTTTTAAGTTGCTTTAATTTGAACATTTATGAAGTGGATTTAATTTTAAACAATCATTGGAACTAAAGTTTGATTCTGGTAAAATCTGCTTAATTTCCCCCAAATATGCTATGATATCACAATTCATACAAAAATTAATGATCATTTTTTTAAATGAATATTTAAATAATTTCAAATCAGTGGGATTTTACTTAATTTTCTATTCCCTATCTCTCAAACAATTATTTATTTGACTCTCAATCATTAAGTCCCTATCCATCTTACACACAGTTTTATTTCCTGACGTTTTCATTGCTTTCTTCCTCCCACCCCACAAAAAATTTTCAAAACATAATCCTTCAAGGTTTTAGAATGCACTGCTCCATAAAATACAAATAATTCATCCCTAGCTAAATAAGCTAATCCATCAGGAATCACTGTCCTATCTTTTAATCCCTCACACACCAATTTCTGTCCCCAAATAAGTATTCATTCACAAATTTTTTTTTGCACCCCCCAAAAAAAATTACCACAAATGATTTTATATACATTTTATAATAAATGATGTATGACATTGTATGTAATTGATATATTAAATCTTTACTTTAGGTGATATCATGAATCAAAGCCCCATCTCTTATTCCCTCAAACACCTTTTACAACTGAAAAAAGAGTTTTCATTCACAAGATTTTTTTTTCGCATCAAGAAGTTTACCTCAAATTTACATAATGATTTTTATATATACATTTTATGTATACAGGATGTTTGTATGTAAGCGATATCCCATAAAATCCTTATCTCTTCCTACTTATATCAAGTTTAATGCATTACGAAGAAAAGTAAACTATATACTAGATATCATATACTCCATTAAATTTCAAAAACCTTTAATAGGTGTGTATTTCTTGTTACTGTTATTTTTTCTTCGAACATCTTCGTAATTTTTTTATTTCTTTTTAAAAAAAAAATCCTTAAAATTCAAAACTGATAGCTTCCTTTACTTGGAAAAAAAATCAACATAATTTCATGCCAAAATTGGTTTCAAAATATAAAGGATAATTTATTAGGGGGGGTTATAAAGCAACACTTTAGGTGTTATGAAGTCCTTAGCCTCTTTTAAGTCTTAACAATAAATAATGCGGCAGTATTCAAGATTTACCCCCCTTTATCACACAAAATATTGGACTCAAATGAACCCAATGTGACCCAATAACTTTGATTCTTACAGATCAAGGTGTTATATTTAAGTACAGTTGTATTCACTATGGACAGTTATAGAAAGAAATTTCTATATGTCAATGAAAGTGATTTAGTGACATTGGTTCGCATAGGTGCCTCAAAGGATATCCTAATTCATCATTATTTACATAAATATAGAATTATTTAAGTTTTTTCCTATTAACACTGCAATGATTAATATCACTAGGGTTTCTATTTACAATACAAATATTGAAAATTATGCAGTTTGTTTTGAAAAAAGTCAAAACCATAAGTATGCCCTAAATGATGTAAAATGAATCCAAGTCGTGCACATTTCTTTTCAACTTGACGGCATCAAAATTCTTCATTATGTAATCTTGACGATTATACACAGCAAATAATACATGGAATTTTATAAATTTATTGTGTGCCCGAAATGACACTTCATTTTGATAGGATTTTGATTGTGATCAGTTATATATGATACTCGGAACAGGGGTTATAAAGTACATGGAGGGGGTAAAAAAGAATGTTTCATTTGCAATTTTATCCCCTGGACTTGACTCCTAGTCAGAAGTTAACTCAGGTCATATATTTCTCAAATATAAAGAAAAATGTCTTGTACGAAATAATTAAAATAAAAAAAAGGTCAGAAATGTTAACGATTTGCGAGTTTCCGTCAGGCACATAATTAGTAGTTTTCTACCAGTGTATACTATCACCCTGTCACAGCATAACCTTGCCGTACAAAATCAAATACAAGTGTCAGTGTTAAATCTTATCATTTTCTTTGATGTGACATTCATTGTCAAAAAATCAATCACCAACAAACAATTCCAAATTCTAAATTTTCACCCCATTGGTGTCAAACACTTTAATTGATGTCTCCTACCCCCAGAAACTTTTTAGTACATATAATCCTGCTTCGTTTTTTCCAACAAAAAAAAGTCATCAAAAAATGTAGATCATGAATAACGAAGAAATTCAATGCTCGGACTCTTGTAATGGTTTTAATCATGAAATAGCTATCATTACAAACAAGTTGCAGACATATTCATCGTTTTAAGACCCTTCTCCATTTAAAAAAGAAAACGTCAAAACTCTGAGTTTTTATCACAAAGATAGAGGGATTAAGCTAATGTTACAACTGCGGCACTTTCAACCCTCACTCACTACTTCATTTACGGTTAATTAATTTTCAAAAACCCCTTGTAGGAATATCTTGAGTCATTTGGTACAGCACACTAGGTTAAAGATTCATAATTAATGCAATCAAATTGCATGACTTAATTTTTGGTCAAAGATCCTTTAAAATTTTTTCATCCATACTTGGCCATGCTTTCACTGTATATTTTACACTGCATTAATCTAATTGGCACCTGTTGAACAGTGCATTCAAAATAATTGCAATTTTTGAATACTTTTTTCTTTTAAAAAAGTGTTCCAGTACACTTTCCAATCATCAAAAATGACCCAAGGCTAAAACACCCTGACATCACAATTCTAACTTATCTGAAATTAAAAATCATTAACATTGTAATTCTTCAGTAGGTAATAATAATGGAAAACTCCCAATCTCCAATAGCATCTGTCATCAGATAATGAGATTGTTTTCTTCGGAAAACTGGGTCCTGCTCCTATACAAGAAGCTGGTACCAGGCCCCAACCTCCCCATCAGAAACGTGTCCCTCTGCCGGAGTCAGAAAAATAAACGTGATCTCGTTAGTGACCACCTGGACTCCAAACTGGGGAGCTGAATAAGAGAAATGTCACCAGTTGTACCCAAGTTCTCTAACCTATTCCCAGGCAAATGAACAGCACCCAAGACCCAGGCTTTTATAAAGGACCAGCCAAGTGAGAGCTAATGTTAATTTTATGAAAAAATGTCGGCATTATAAACTTTTTTTTTTGGCATCCGATAAATTTCTTTAAAAAAAAAAATATAGCTCTATACATTTCTAGGCATATAGTAAGTCCCTACACCCTTACACTCACATAAATTTTGGCCCATATTTCTTTATTTTTCCGATTCCTGATCATACTTTAAACAGAGTCTTAGTTTCCTTTTTTGAAAGTTTAAACGGATAAAATATACACCGTACTAGTGAAATCAAGTGTATAAAATCATATCTTCACAGAAGAATACCTTTTCAAAAAATATCTAGATGCTTGATCAAATTTTTTAGCTGTGTTGCTATTTCATCCTTACATAATACTGAAGAAAGTAAATGTGAGTACTTTAACACCCCGGCTAACATAAGCCCTGTCAACTGTTAAGACACATTAGACGCAGCTTAATAAGGGTGAGCTGCAAAGTTTCTCAGTACCGCTTTCAATGAAAATTTATCTATTGATGAATTTCTCCTTTCTTAACTCTAACGGTATGCAGAAACTAAGGTTTGTTTGCTGAAAACACAAAAAGTAACCTGACATGCAAATAAATTAGTGACAGTTTTTGTTTTTTATGGAAAATTATGCCCATAAAACAGGTAATAAAAAGCCAGAATTACAGAATCAAACATAATAAACCTATTATGAAAACAAATTTCCCTCCGACCCTTACAAAATAATAACCGCAACTGAAATATGTAGAATATTATTAATAAACTTCAAAATACATTACCATTGGCAAGAGTTTGGATTTGATAAGTCCATGTGGGAAAAGTTGAGTTGGCTTTATCTTCACATACTGCCACATTTTAAAAGTCCACCTCCAGTTATTTCACAGCAATAAATTAATTATACAATCACTTTAAATATATCACATATTGGATGGAAATGCACAAAACTTCTCACAAAGTTCACCATGGTCAAAAATATATCTGCGTATAAAAGTTTTAATTTAAAAGTACATATCACTCACATCATAATTCCTGCAGAAGTTTCTTCATTTTTTTCACATATATATAAAAATAAAAAATATTTTTTTTCAAAAATGATTTTTTTTTCAAAAAACTTTAAATCTCCAAAAATAAAACTAAAATTCAAATCAAAGTCTGTCCACTTTCAGAATAATTGACCGTCTGCAGTTTACTATAGCCCTGCCTGGAGGTAACGAGGTGCTTAAATCGTCTTCATTGACAAAAACTACTCGTGGTTGGAACTCCATACAAACAAGACAGCCTGTGTCCCTACCGTGTTTTCTAACAAGTGTTTTGCTTGACTAACATTAACAATAAATAGTTATTGCTGAATGGTGAGGGCTCGTGGATTACAGAATTGGTGTTTATGAAGCAGAAGATCCTCGCAATCTACCTACACTTTTATTGGTGTCAATTTTAGAAGGGAGATTGTATTTATATATATGTGTGTATACTATGGCATTGTCTAAGATCTAGATAAGTATGCACTCCAAAAAACAAGTTTAAAGAATCTTTTACACAAAAAATCATCTACTCTTTCTTAAAAAGTTGTTGACAGTTTCAAATGTCCTATTGATGTACATTCTTGTATGTGCTTGGATGTTCAATTAAAAAATATGTGAGTGAAATTTTTTTTGTACGAATGATTACAAAAATGTCAAGCTGCCCAAGTGGTGCAAAGGTGAGAACATTTGCTCTAGATTTGTGGAGCAAGAAGTGGATCCAAGGTTGTGGGTTGAAATCCAAATGTGGGATATGGAGACAAGCACTTTGGATAGGACCATATAAATTGTATTCCTGTTTCACAGAAGGATCTGGCACAAAAAAAGATCCATCACTGCTGAGTGGCCCTGAGTGACAAGTATAAGGTCTAAAATTTCCTGCCTCCCACCAGCAAATGGTGGATCCTCAACATTTATGGAAAATTCTTGAAAGGAATGTTAAACAAACAAACAAAATTAGACATATATTTTTTTTTAAATCAATCATATTTTTAATTGTGCCAATCCTCCAACTAATTTTGAATGAAAAAAAGACTTGATTCATTAGACCCCAATTCAAACCAAAGTACTGTAGAAGTACTTTTTTCCGCAAGTTATTAATTTACGATATGTACGCGGTCACAAATTTTCCGCGGAAATTTGTCCAAGTGTACTTAATATAAATGTAAGGCATATAGTGACAATCCAGAAAATCCGCTTAATTTTCTACCCGCAGATTAAACAGAAATTGAGATTCCGCGGAATTATGAACCCGTGGAAAAAAGTACGTTTACAGTATCAGATAACCCTTTAGCACTCTCTATAGCAAACCTCTTCTTCAAAGACCCCCTACCAAGCATAACAATAAGTCTGAGCTGGGTTTTCCATACTGCCTGTCTGGTAGACCTTCCGTCACAGACAGGTGTGATTACCTATGTTAAGGTGCCTCTAACCAGCATAAGATCTGAGGGAGCAGTCTTATCTTACATTGACCTTGTGTGACCTCCTTATGTTCTACCACTGCATGCAAATCACAGATTGAGGGCAGGCTGAATGAGCGCATTTCGATCTCCCCTTTTTTGATTTTTATCCCAATTACCCAATACATACATACGAAACAACGAGTGACAGTCCCTCCCTTTTACGAAAAGAAAATTCTACAGATCATTCGCCCCAAATTTTCTTGGATGATTAAAAGGAAAGTAATAGGACAGATAAAGGACTTAAGTCCCTCCAATTAGACTTAAGCCAATAAAGACCTATGTTGATCTTGATGGAGACATTGGAAACTCCTAGTTTGGTTCTTTCCCATCAAACTTGATGCTCTACTTACAATTTGACAAGTGTGTGAAATTCACGGTCCAAACAGGTGAAAAAAAAAGGAATAATAAGTAAATAGATGAATTCAGTTTCTGTGTGGCAGGATTTACAGTTGACAAGAAAAATTAATGGGGTAACACTGTATGACTCACAATACTTCAAACTTTTTTTTTCAAGATCGTTCAAGGATGAGCGCGTGTTGAGGGTAACACTTCCTTAATCAAAAGATTTCGGCAATCTCGATACAGTGATAATAAAATCACTCATAACTATTATAATCTTATATACACTGATTACAATTTGAAGTTCACAAGAGTTTTAGAACAATTATTCTGTTCAATAAATTTAAAATCACATTTCTTATCTTCTGTCATCACCGAAAAAATCCCCCCAGCAAACACTTCTCCGATCTGTACTTTCAACACAATGACAAATTGACAAATCACAGAAGTTGGAAGAGCAATCATAAATTCAATTTTTTTTCACCAATGCAAATCAGTTTCTCTCCCACACTTCTTGAAAAAAAGCTGCAAATATAAGACCCTTCCCAAAAATAGATCTCTTGGTGACAAATTAATGATTGACTATAAATTTTTTATATGTACTTTCAATGCCCTAAATTTGTATGGAGGAAGTGGCAGCAACTATAAATTGAATTTTGTTTTATTTTTTCAAAATCAAGACCACTTTCTACAGAAGTCAAGGCCAATAGCTAGCTCTCAAAAGTGGTTTACCTCAGATTTTGTGTATTCAAATCATACACTCCCTTTTTTACGCACTTTCATTCATCCAACCAACTGGGAACCTATTGCCAATCCTCAATAAATAAACTCTTCTTTTATTTCTTTGGTTCCAAGTTCTGAAGAAAATATCAATGAGTCCTGCAGTATTTAATAAATGACCAAACCACATTAAAGAAACTTAACATATAGGATGATTCAAGAATTTAGAAAATTTAAATGATACATGGATCTTAAACTATCTGATAAAGTCAAAATTAAGATGATTGTAGAGGTACTATGAATGAGCTCACAAAATAAAACTTGTCATTTTCTAACTAATTTTTTTGGTGTCAAGTTCAAGGCCACATTTTAATAAAATAGAATGGACACTAAAAACTGGAAGAGGAGGACGAAGTATCTTTCAGTGATATAGGGACATCAAATGTTTCTGCATTAGAAAATTATACTCATATCATAAACTTTTTGTACCAATGACTTTGAACTTCCACAATGACTTGGGTCAAGGTTAGACTACACATTTTTTTGTACCAAATACAGTGTATGAGCTTCCAATGATTTTCTATTACAAATTCATTACCTTGAAAATAATTTTGTACTTTTTCTGCCAGTGACCTTGAACTTGCCACAATGACCTTTGAAAAAGGTCAGGACAAGCCCTTGGATCATAAGCAATTTTTTTTACCAATATAAACTTTCACTAAATACAAATATAAAGTTAAAGCCTGGACAAGTTTGCAAGGACAGATGGACATGATTTTCTCTTATCCTGCGATCTTCTGCAACAAATTTCCAAAAGCTTTTCATTTATTTTTGATATGCTTGTGTTTCATTAAGAATAACAATAATGTATGCTATATTCTTGTAATTTGCATTTCTTTTTTTAACTTTGCTCTTTGAGCAAATATACTTCTCTGTTTTTCAATTGATTGCAAAAACATATCAAAAGTTCTAGAGGCAGAATTTGTACTTAATCTTCATTCAGCTTATTTTATTTCCTTTAAGATAATATTACATCAAGTGCAAACTTTATGTCAAATAGTAAAATGATCTCATTCATAAAAAAGATCCTGATCGTATTCTATAAATATATAATATTACAAGAAAGTGATAAATACCAATTAAGCACGTCATTCGCAGGTTTCCTTCACAATGACAAAGGTCAGTTCCCTGTCAATGTAGCCTATTCTTACCACTTAAAATGTCAGTTACTTGCCATTGCTATCAAAAATCTAATTATTCTCTCTTTCATTTCTCCCCATAAAATTTTCATCAGAAAATAGTAAGTTTCCGATTTAGCCAGAACAGAAATAGAACACCTTCGGCCCCCTTCCCTTAACACCCCGTTACAAAAGCGCCGTGGCCCCCACACTCCTCACCCCGATATAAAAGTCAGATTTACGTTAGATCTCGATTACAGATTTTTAGCTTAAAGGTGCTGACCTGTTCTTTATATAGTAGGGGGCACTGATCTGAGAAAAATCAATAAATTAACCACACAATATACATACAAATGAATGGAGCTGTCACTCGGGACCAGATATGGATATCCTTTTATGGTAAACAGCGCATTATCCTGTCATCTTCAGACGAGATCCTGCCAAAAATGAAATCCACATCAACCCCGTTTTTTTGCTGGAGACCTAAATTTAAAAATATAAACCTTAATATAAAATATTTCAATTTAAAAATATAAAACTTCAAAGACTTTTTTTTTGGATTTACATCTTGATGCACTTTTCTATATTTGATTTATTGCTTTGTATTTTTTTATGAAGCTCTATTTCAATTTACACACAACTTGACGAAATATTTTACAATCAAGTTCATGCATATATCGGTCAAACCATACTGCAGAATTTATTGTAGTCTAGAGAGAAAAAAAATCTTGAAGACTTTAGAAGGTTTAGGGACTTTCTACAGAAATTTGGACTAAAAAAAGGCATAGTTGGCAAATGAACAAAAATAACATATAAATCTAATCTAATTTAAAGCTATTTTATGCAATTTAAGAATGTAAATCACATATTTAATCAGCTGTTATAACCAGATCCGATTCGGACACGAAATGTTTATACAAGGATGTATAGGAAAACAAGGGCTGGTGATGTTTTATTGCAAGACAGTGGTAAATTTTGAGATTTCAAATTGCTATTTGATCAAAGGAAGATTGGAGGTGCACTTTGATATAAATCCCAAAGTTTGCTACCATGCTCAAATTTAATACTCGACAGAAAATGTCAACCCGAATACATCTTAACTGTTATTTGCACAAATCTGTATAAATTCTTGTTGTCTGGAACTGTTAATTGGGAGAAAGGAATTTGCCTTGCAAAATACATGCATGAATAAAGCATTAATTTCTTCTATTAAACTTCACTTAATGGATACATGCAAAAAGTCTAAGTAAAATATTTCTGCTAAATATTTATGTTTGTAATAGACAAGCACCAATATTTTTCTTTTCCTTTTTATATTTAAAGGTAAATATTTTATTACTTTACACATTAATTTATGGAAATACAATATCTGCAAAAAAAAATGAATATTTCCTACTATTGCTACAGGCTAAACACCTGGCAATTTTACCCATAACAAAAGGAACATATTTCCAATACCTCGATGATTTCACAAAACATTAATAAGAATAATATTACAATCATCTGCAACAGTAAACCAAGCTTTCACTATTTTAACTTTCTAAGGATTCAAGAATTACTATATCATTCTGTACCCCACAGCTAGTGACATATTTGCATATTTTTAATTTCTAATCCATTACATACCTATACATGCTTGATGTACAACTTGTACCCAGAAAATCATCTTCATAAGTTCTCCTTTAAATAAACAAATAAATAAATAAATAAA